TCTGCTGCTTGAGATGCTGCCACAACTTACTACTTACTACGTACTACTTACTACGTACTACTTTCTACGTACTACTTACTACTACTACTACTACTACTACTACTACTACTACTACTGCTACTACTACGACTACTACTGCTACTGCTACTACTGCTACTACTGCTGCTACTACTACTTCTACTACTACTAAATGGGAGCATTATGTCTTTTTCCTTGGCACGGGACACGGGCTCAGGTTGGTGAGAGCCCGCGGAGCCAAAGCAGCACGCGAGCGGCTATGTGAAAAAGCTTGTGCCTCCTTGCTTCCCTGAGCGAGCAAGGGTTTTGGGTTTAGGGGTTTAGGGTTTAGGGCTTTAGGGATTAGGGTGTAGAGATTTAGAGGTTTAGGGATTTCGGCATGTAGGGTTTAGGGTTAAGGGGTTTGGTGTTTGGGGTTTAGGGGTTCAGGGCTTTAGGGGTTTAGGGTTTTCGGGGTTTACTAAAGCCTTGAAACCCAACAGTCGCTTCAGGGTTTGTCCACTGCAGCCCAACCCCTAAGCCACACACCACAACCCTACCCTAAACCCTAAACCCTAAACCCTAAACCCGAAATCCCTACAGGTCATCTAGCCTTGAACTCTATGAACCTCAAGCCATAACCTCGGACCTGTGGCATGAATCCTCAGCCCCAAGATTGAACCACAAGCCCCAGACTCTCTAGTACAGAGGTCGGAGTAATTAGTACAACGATTCCCTTATAGCACTGGTTATAACCCCAATACAACACCCTCTGCCCTTCAAAAATACGTATGTCGACGTATGTCTCGCATACTCTGCCATAGCCTTATTCTAATTCTTCAGTCCCCTAAATCAGCCCCTAAACCCTAAACCCTAAACCCTAAACCAAACCTATATCAACACCTCTGCTCGGAGGATCCTTCCAAAGCTCTTCAGGGCCCTGGGGAAGAACACGCACCTCAGGGATCTGCCTCTCGGCAGGCTTTCTTGAAGCCCTAAACCCTAAACCCTAGGCCGGGGTTTTCTCTCCTGGCTAATCCCTGCTTCGAACTCGGTCTGGTTGATATCGACTTGAAGGATCGGAGTTTGGAGGAGGGTTCAGATAGGGGTTTAGGGGTTCAGATAGGGGTTTAGGGGTTCAGATAGGGGTTTAGGGGTTCAGATAGGGGTTTAGGGGTTTAGGGGCTTGTGCAAGCAGTCGGTAGACAATCCGAGGGTTTAGGGGTTCGGGGGTTTAGGGGTTAGGGTCGAAGCTATCTTAGTCGCTCTGCGCCCAGACATTAGGAAAGTCGAGAAGAAATGCATGAAGATCCGGAAGCCTCTGTGTGCCCTTCGGGCGGGAAGTGACGGACTACCTGAACAGCGCAGACATCTTAAAGTTTAGAGAATCGGTTGCTGAGCTCTGAAGAGAGTCACCATGCCCCACGCTGTAGTGTGTGACTCTTGTGGACTTACTCCGCATTTCTGGACATGGTTCTGCATGGTTCTTTATCCTCCTGCTTTTGCATGGTATGATCGCACAGTCTTGTGCAAGATCCGCCCATTACCCGAGCCTTCCTTCCGAGTTTCCACTTACGATATCATCCGAAGTTGTCTTTCGGACCTCGTGCGAAATGCTAACGCCCTACGGCTTATCCATCTGGGTGGTTCTCTAAATTAGGGTCCCTTTTTAGATCCCCAATATAGTACGGCACCCTTATAAAAAGGGCCCTAAAAGGGACCCTAATTTAGAGAACCACCCATCGGAAACCGGCACAACGAAGGGCCACTTCGAGTCAGGTAAGCCCGATGTCTACTTTAGAGAGTGCATACGTGAGCTTCCAAGCGTTCCCGACCGGCCTTGGGTTTCGAGAGGAGGATCCCATAAACTCTCAACCCAAAGCCCCAAGCCCTTCAAGCTCGACTAGAATACGGAAGCGGGAATATTTACAGATTCTATGCTGAAGGGTTCCTGTTTGTAAGGAGAAGTATAGAGGTGAGTATAGGAGCACCCAAGTACCTGCTCGAATTGTTACGGCCCCCTGTATTGTTTTCTAAATCCTCAACGACTGAGCCCCAGGTTGTTGGGCAATACCGGCCTGAGATTGAGCGAGGTGCCTTCGGTGCTGCTGAACTGGGGGTGTCTCCTTTTTGTTTCTGAGGTTTGGGATAGCTCCATACTCCTGCATCCCGCCAGTACTTTGGGGAAAGCATCTGGGTCGAGTCCTGAAGCCGCCAGTAGTGAACCCTAAACCCTAAACCCTAAACCCTAAACCGTAAAGCGGTTTGGCCCTGCGTTGGTGGTGTGTTGGGTCTGCTGGCGGTCTCATGCTTCGTAGTCCCCTGGTCGTCTTGTCTGTCTGGTGCTTAGTAGGGAATGGGGGAATGGATCCCTATGATAGTCCCTTTAGGTCCCTTATAGTAGTCCCTATAACCCATTCCCCCATTCCCTACTAAGCACCAGACAGTTGTCCGTGGTGGTCGTCGTGGTGGTCCTCGTGGTCCTGGTGCTTTTTCACTCTTCACCGGTTTTGGAGCTTCGGGGGCTTTGAGTTTCAGGGACTAGGGTTCTGGGGTTTCCGGTCTTGGGTTTAGGGTTGAGTGGTTGAGGATTTCAGGGTTTGCAGATTCGGGGTGTTGAGGGTTTCAGGGTTTGGGGTTCAGGGTGTAACGCATGCGACCGGGTAGAATTGAGTCGGGGTCAGGATTAAGTCAACTGGACCATAAACTCCGAAAGCTCCACATCCTCAACTGAACACTGAAGCCTAAGCTGTAAACCCTAAACCCTAA